TCTCTTTGACAGGCCCCAGCCCCTTGGAAAAAGGAAGTTTACTTTTGGTGTCCCAACAGTCTTACGAACGGACTGCTAGCCCCTTCTGGCTCCAAAGCTGCTCCCTATTGTCCAGCTTGAGCTTAGGGACTGAGGGTTCCCTTGTATTCAAGTGCTTTCTTCAATGATTGGTGTGCTTTTTGTTGTTGTGGACTAAAGCAGGCCAGAGGAAGAGAGCAGTAGACAAATAATAGACTTGGAAAAACGTCTGTTTGAAAGATATTGATTCACCTTAAAAAAAAATTGGGAAGAGAAGATGAGTTCTCGTCTTGGGTCATTGAGCATGAGCAGGAAAAGAGCAATTAATTCTTCGTACATCCACTTTAGAGTTTCCAGGTGTTAAGGAGGGTTTTTTCCATTTCTTTTGTTTGTTTCTTTGTTGTTTTGGGGTGGGTTTTTTTGGGCACCAGAATTACATTGCATTTAGATCTCACTCAGTTTTAATGCCAAGGAGAGCAGAGATCCAGAGGCCGAGTCCAAATTTTCCCGTGCAGCAGCATGGTGCGTGTCTTCTTGGCCGTTCTCCATGCATTTCTTTGAAACATCTTCTCTTGGGATTCCAGTATGTTGGAAAATAAAATGCTACTTAATAGATAGTACATAAGAGCAATTGTTGGTCGCACCAGTGATGACCACAAAGCGGAAAAAGATGTTCCTGCCTTTTGTAGACTTAAAAAGTGAGATTTAAACTGAGCTCATCCCTCCCCACAGACACCTACAGGAGGAAGCCTCACCAGCTGATTGGAGGTGTTGGATTAGCAGCCCTTCAGAACGAGGGCTTCTGCCCAGAAACAGAAGTACAACTTTCCACAGCAGTCTCACTTAGACACCTGCAGTTTACCCTGAATGAAACAATATCAGAAAAGACTGGTTTTCAGCCAAGAGTCATCACCCAGTTTTGCAGCTCATCACTAACCCATCAAAACCCACAGATATGTTGCAAATGTGAAAGAGGAGGGGTGACCTGATCTCTCTGCAGACCACTGTTTCTCTCCAAAATTGCTAAGGTGATGTTTTGAGCCAGCAAAAAAACGCTATGTATTTGAATGGGAAATTAAGATGCAAAAATCTTCACAAGGCACAGGGAGGTTTTTATCTAATTAAAATATTAGTTTTGCCTTTTACTTGAAAGACAGGGATTTTACCATCAGCAGCTTGCTTTATTACCTTGGTTTGTGTTTTTCACTTCATCAGAGGCACGTTTTAATCAGTATGAAATTTTATTAATAGGACTATTTTTCCCAGATCTTTTTCAGAACCTTACCAGAGTATCTGTTGGGAACAAATTTGGCCGTAGACTTTGAACAGTGGTGGCATCATCTGTATGCAGGTGTAACTATTTTGGTATGTTCTGTGTGCTGGGTGCTTCTTAAGGCAGTATTTCAATACATAAGCGACGAAGTAAAGGGAAAAATGAGTCAGTAGACTTTAGAATGAATGTTATTTATCTTTATTTGTCTTATGAATGTTAATGATGGCATTTTACATAACACTTTTTCTATATTAATCTGTGTCGTTACTCTGTTAGGAAGATAAATAATCCACTTGTACGTGCATGTTATTTGCCAGTGATATTTTCTAAATAAAGAGTTTGGCGTCAGTGAGAGGTGACGGTGTTCCAAGGGTTTTGACCCACCCAGCTTTTCACCCCTGCTTTGGGTGACCTTGCAGATGTTAAACAGGATTGCGCTGAAGCAGGAGGGTCTGACTACCAAAGATACCGCTCTCAGAGCTGTTTTAGTTACACTTCACCGTCATAAGCATATGGTTTCACTTCCAAGTGTTTAACATTTCCATTTCCTCAGGAAATCATTCTTTCTATTTTTTAAACTTTTGAAACTGGGTGGATATTTTTACTGGCAGGCGGACCGGCAGCGACAGGGCGATTATCCCCAGCCCAAGGGAGCCCCTGGCTGCGGTACCCGCCTGGCTCTCCATCCCCTCCCCTCGTGCAGCAGCTCGTGAGCACGGCTTGGGGGCTTCAGCCAGGTCTCCGGGGTGCAGCACGCTGTTAAAACACTTCTGCTTTCCTTACTACAATACAACTACCCACTCTTTTTTTCTGCTTTAGCTGAGAGAGGTGTTTTTCTTTCTTAGTCCTCTCCAGGGCCCATGCATCCCAAGAATTAGCAGCGAGCAGACTCCTTTAGCTGACTTAGTGAGGCCAACGGCAAGATCAGGGCCTAAGAAAATATTTTGTGTCACCTGCAAAGAATGAAAACAGTTGCATCATGTATTTATTGTCTGTATTGGTATATCCAGCACTTAAATGAACATGACCAAGGAGTGGATGGCTCCAGGGAACTGCTCTGGCTCTTGTGTTTTCAGAGATTATTTCTGGTATTTCCTTTTTCCTCATTACGAACGGGTCACCCTTCTCATGTGTTGGCCAAGTTGTGTACCATAGGAGGAAGTCTGTGCTCATGTCTTCTTTATGTTTCATTTATCCACATATGTAATAGTGTTTAGGCGCTTGTTTTCTTTTCCTGCTATGCTATAAATTACAGTTATTGGATATTTGCATGCTTATTTAGCTGATATCACTAGCCCTTTTATTAGAAGAGCATCCTCTGCTACAGTGAGTGTCACCACTTCATAACAACTTTGATAAACTAACTGCATTTTGTACAACAAGCGTTGTCACCGTGCATCAAATAGCACTGTACAAGAGAAAATATAGGGCAAACTAGCTGATTAATGTATTTGTTCCTTTGTGTTTTGTTCTGTTACAAATTCAGACAGCCGCGTTTTTTTGCACTGCTTGTTTAACGTGAGGAAGCTTGCTGTGGGTTTAGGCTTCTGCAGGGATTGAGTCCTGCCATCAGGCAGGCTGTGTGCTACCCATATTCAGGGTGTATATTTTGTTCATACCCTCAGAAGAGTTAGTTAGTCAAGGCAGCAGAAAACAGCATCAGACAAATGTAGTTCAACCTCCAGACCTGCCTGGAGAGCTCACCTGAGCTGCTCAACCTCCGGCTTCGTGCCAGACTCTGGGACATTGTGAGTTGCTGTTTTGATCCACTCAGGCTCTTTCCTAATTCTTTGCTTACCTTAGTGCTGTGCGTGTCTGCACATCCCTTCAGCAATTACCTTCTCACTAAACAAGCTACTGGGTCCAGCAGTACAAGCTTGTACCACTCGCAAGGACACCCCCAAGGCTGCTCAGCGTCCCAGCGAGCCCGCTGGCTTCCTTGCCGTGCGTGTCTGTGTCGTGATGTTCCATGCTGCAGGCTCCAGCTCATGCAAACAAACCAATGCCTTGGGCTTGCTGCTGATAGATAGATAGACTGGAGGTCAAGTTAGGATTTACACAGAGATTTCAATCCAGTTTTATTTGCTAGAGGATATCAAAGCATTGCAATCTTCTGGATAGATTGAGTGATATCCTGATTTGAATTGGCCTGGCAGTGCCAGCCACAAAATGGTGCTGTTACGTTGTTCCAGACTGTTTCAGAAGACCAGAGCAGAGCAGGACCATGCTGAATTAAAAGCACAGTCCAGCTAGCCCCAACGCGTGTCTCCAGCGACCACCCTGTAGGTGCTTCAGGGGCCAGTTCCTGAAGTACAGCCCTACCTGCACGCAGGCGCAGCACTGGGCAAGCACCCTCCTTGCTCTTACAAGAGGCAGCCTTGGGTGCTCCTGCCCCCCTGCCACCCAGCTACAGGTCAGCAAGTCCAACATCTCATACAGGGTTTTCCGTTCAGGAGGGTTACCCTGGTTCGGCCGAACACGGTCCCCAGGGTGCGACCCGTGATGAGCGAGGTGCCACCCTAGCAAAGGCGAGCTCCGTTGCGGCTGTGCGCCTGCAGATGTTCCCCTTGGAGTGGATGGAGCTGGATGAAAGGTGCAGGGGGACAAAGCAAAGGGGGAATAAAGGATGTTGCAGGAACAACTCCAGGCCTGAGAGGGAAGTAACCAAGGCACTGACAACTTGTGTGGGTTTCGTATGTCTGTTTGCAGTGCTATGTTATGTGTTTAGAAGCTGGTTGTTTCCATAATAACAGCAAGTGCCATATGGCAGCGAGGAGGGTGGTGAGAGGAACGCTCAAGGAAACACAGTATGTTGTTTGACATGTGTGTGCTTCTAGAGGAATAACGTGTCTCGAGCAAGAACTGCTGCTCCAAACAGGCTGGGGAATTTGCTGCTCTCACCAGAAAAATATCCAAAGCTCTCAGCGTTTGTACTGGTGCAATGCCAGTTAAAAATGCCTGCCCTTCTCCCATGTTTTCGTGCAGATAGTCCCTGTGATGGGTAAAGGACCTTTTGCTTTGCTGGGAGTGATGGTTCTGGATGCATCAGCACGGGGGAATGGCTTTTAAACATGGCATTTAAGGGGAAATACAGTTCTGTAAAGGAGTGCTGCATGAAACTGAAACCAGCTAGATGCCATATGCTCCATCCATTCATTAATGCTCAGCAAGTAAATAGCAGAAATTTTGAAACCTTTGAAAATATGTAGCTTACAATAATTGTTTAGTAGAGAGTGGGTTGAGCATTTCCAGAGATTAGGGGCACTTTAGTGCATATCTAGGAAGCATCCAGGAAGGTCTCCACAAATCCCAGCTTTTTCTACCCTTTAATGTATGACTCACAATTCAGGGACTTGTCATTTGCTCCCCTCATTCCCACAAACACCACCAGTCTGGGCGGTTCCTTTGAAGACTGCATGTATTGCCACCACAAAAAAATGTGAAATTTCTTTTTCATAATAGCTGAATGGCTTTTGCAGGACTTTTACCAACATCAGCTCTGTAAAATTGAGCCTCTTTTGTTTGAGTCTCGAAGCCATTAATTATATTTGTATTTGGATACCTGAAACATGGTGGCAGGGAGACAGCAGCAGTTCTGATTTGGGGTCATAGTTCTGCCCTCACTTACAGCGCTTTAAACTCCTAACCAACCCAAAAGGCAAAGCTCTTCTCATTTTCATGCTTCTCTTCTTCTCTTTATTGTCTCTAGAGAGAGATTACTGCAGCATATGCGAAAAGCAGCCGATCGGAAGGCTTCTCTTTCGGCAGTTCTGTGAAACTCGACCCGAGCTCGAGTGCTGCATTAGGTTCCTTGACTCAGTGGTAAGTCAATTCTTGTGATATTTTGGGGTGCTTTGCAGTGCTCTCCTGACAGAGGAGACTCCCCTGACCCCAAGAAATCACTGTTCCATGGGATGTGATTTTGTGTCTATGGCACCTGAGCAAGCAGTGGACAGGGCTGATCCCCTCAGCATCCCAGCATCACTGGTGGTAGAAGGGCAGAGCTGCATACAGGGTTGGTAGCAGCCTCGGGGGAGCGGGAGCCACTGGAGCGGGAGAAGGACAGGCACACCGGCACGGTGCTGGCGTAGCCTCCCTTCATGTCAATGCCTGAGCAGCTGAGCTGCTGTGAGTAATGTCTTTTGATGTGGGTGAAGCCTGCAGTGCTGGGAGGCGCTGGGAGGAAAGGGAAGATGACAAATGGACTGACAAGAGAGGATGAGGAGTGTGGTAATACTAATATCTATCTCTTACCAAGGCTTTTCATTGATAGACTTCAGGGTGATTTACAAAGGACATCCTGATTGTTATCCTGGTTTTTCAAATACGGAAAACAGAGGCACAAGGTATAGAAATGATTTGGTTGAGGTCACCAACAAATCTCATCCATTTTCCACCCCGGCGAGCTATCAGTTAACCCAGCCTCTGAGCAACATCCCCCAGCCCTGGGGGGACCTGATGCTCTTTCCCAGTCTGGCAGCTCTTGGCCGTGTGTAGTGCCAGCAGGAGAAGCTGTTCACAGTAGAAAAGTCTCTCGGTGGCTTTCTTGCTGGGAGCCTGCAGAAAGGTCGGGTGTTGATGAGCCAAAAGGCTAAATTGTGCTAGGGATGAAGATGAACTCATCACTGCTGAGTGTGAGCGTCTGAGGGGCTTCGCTGTCTGGCTAACACTGACAGTCAAAAGCAAAACGACGCATACCAACAGGAATACATTTTTGTTTGTTTGTTTGCACCATAGTGAAGTTATTCTGAAGGATATGGAGATGTGAGGATTGCACTGAAGTTGTAAGAGTCTGGGAGAGGACATGTGATCACTTTATGTTGATGTTAGTACTGCAGTGTCTACAGCAAATCTATAACATCACAGAAACTGTTGGATAAAGTCCTATTCAAATCAGTTTTAGCTGGTCACAGCTTCTACCTGATATTCCTAGCTCTGGTTGTGATTTCCCTCCAGTGAAAGGTTTAGCCATCAAGGTGTGTGCAGCTGCTACATCTGACAAATGCTCTGTGCAGCTGTGCTCAAGGCTGCCAGGCAGAAGGACATTTCAGGTACCCTGGATGTGTTTGTCCTGCACTGAACCAGCATCATCTAGTGAGGTGTCCGCCACAGATGAAACACCACGCACCCGTCCTGGGGGTAAGCATCCCTGCAGAAATGCCACATAATGCGGGTGTGACGCCCACAGCCCCGAGGAGACGGGCGATGGCTGTCCCTTTAGGAAGCCACAGAAATCCTTTTGGGAGACAGCCACAAAAGACTGCTTCCAAGTGATTTTAATCTCAGAGAGAAGAGACAGAGCCTTCCTCGGTTTGGAGAGGGTTAGCGAGGTTCTGTTCTTTTCCCATGCTTCCTCGCAGTGACAGGCATCACATTTTGGTTCCAGCAGCACCCAGGGGCTGTGGAGAACAAGCTCAGGGCGCACCGTTTAAGCTGACAGTGGTAATAACGTCGGAGCAAAAGGAAACGTTACTGTCCCCCTGTGTGTGTCCCCAGTGCCACCAGCCCCAGAGCACCGAGTGATAACCTTCGCTGCAGCGCTGCCTGGAGCCTCTCCCAGCCTGCCCAGCCCGGCTCTGGCTGCTGGAATTGAGGGCACTGTGTCATTTCATTCTCCCGAAGCCCTGTGGAGTGGTGCCAAGCGCTGAAACTCAGTGTCCTCCCAGCATCCGTGCAGCACAGGCGACACTGGTCCTGCAAAATCTTGTGGTGGGACTGGCTTTGTTTTAAAGCTCCCTCTCCGAGCAGTTCCGGACTGATATCTTCAAGGGTGTGCTTTTCACCCAGCACCGGGTTGCTTTTGCAGACTGGAACTGCCCTGCATACCTTTACTGGGCCAGGGACTCATTCCCAGTTAGGCTTAGACTGGCAGTATGAGGATTTCATTAACAAAATGCCTGGCTGTGTGGAGGTCTGAATATTTACTCTTTCTCTCTTCTTTTTAACACTAATTAACAGCAGTCTCCTTTGTTTATTGATTCCAAATTCTGTACAGGCTTGCTCCCAGCCCATGAAAATCCCAGTATTAAGCAATATTAAGGTCAAGCAACACAGCCCATAGCCATTAAATTGGATGATTGCTACTGAAATTCACCCAGCGGGGTCACACTGCGTTGAGTAGTGGGATTCAGGCCAAGTCCTACGTTAGGCAAAGAAGTCCTACAATGAGACCAGAATTCGGACTTTACAGCCCTATTCTGAGACCACCTGGAATGTGAAGCCTTTTGGAGACCACCTGCTGTAACAAGCCCCAAGCAGAAAAGGCCAAGACCCTCCATTTTCTTTTGACTCAGTTATTTTTCTAACACGAGATGCAAAACCTATCTTTTGTATATATCAAGTAAAAAGAAAAAAAAATGAGGAAAATATTTAGCTGTTCATGAGAGGCTCGCAGAGCTTTTGCGCATTGAGAGGTAGGACCACCTCTCTTTTACAGAGCACAGCTAAGTGACTTTACCAGGTTGCACCGTAAATCATTGGCAGAAGCCAGTAATTGGTGCCTCCCAATTTTTAATACAGTTTTTAACCAGTGCACTCAACTGTCTGCAAAGAAAGCAGCAATCGGGGCTCTTGGGAGGAGACCAGAACCTGAGTCAGACACCTACCAACAACCTCCACTCCCATACTGATGTGAGACTGTTTTGCAAGCTCTCTCTCACACCTTTGCTTCCAAACACTGGTGGGATCAAGCAGACCTTGCAAAGCAGAATATGTAAAGAGGAAAAAAAATCCCCTCTTTGCTGGACATTTATTTCAGCTTTTGCATGAAGTAACTAACCTGGACTGATGTAGTCTTGTGCAATCTAATTACAGCAGCATCTGTGGATATTAGTCTGTACAGTTAAACAGTTGTTATGTTGGTTTCTAAAGAAAAAAATAATTTATGTCATTAAATTCTGCATCCATGCAGGTATGTATCTGTCAGTTCCCTCTGAAGCCTTTGAATGCTTTGGCCAATTTCAACCATAACTGAGATTAAAGTGCTCAGAGACATAAAGTTTCTACATGTTTTCTGAGAACAAGTGTTTGGGTAATTAGCCACAATCTATCAATTGTAAAACAGACTGCAAAGGTATGTTGTTTGTAAGCAGTAGGCCCCAACATTGAATGATAAAAGTGATAAAAACGAAGAGATGCAGAGCTTTGCAGTGCAGCGCTGGTGGAGCTGGGGGCAGTCGATTCCCATCACTGCTGTGGGACCACTCTGGGACCAGTAAGCAGCCATCAGTGTGGCTGGCTGGCTGGGAAACAGGGCAATAGCAACGCCTCCTCCTAGCCGGTACAGTAGGGCTATAAGGACAGATATCTTATTACAGATATTGTCAGAGGTCCTGACTTGACTAGATAAAATATCTAGTAAGAAGTACTGATGGCTGGAACTTGTGCTGCTGAATGCATTGTGTGATTATCTGTGTGCACGTGAACATGAAGGTCTCCCATGAATAGTTCACCAAACCCTTATGTAGACGTTCAGGTGAAGGAACTGTGCAAACATAATCATTAAATGGAGATAGTTTATGGTTAAATCAGCTCCCCTATAAGCCCCTAACAAAGAATTCACGCACAGCCCTAAAGCACGCTTTGCTGTGCTTACCGGTGTTTTAGCGACACCACACAACTCCGGAGCTGTTGAAAGACAGCCATTAAAATACAGCGTTAGTGAACACGTTTCTTGTGCTGAAAGGCAGATCAGTGAGCAGGGAATCTGCTAGCAAGACGTGTTTCCTTCCTCGCAGCCCATGCCTCCAGCACAAGAAGGTGGCAGTTCAGCGGGGACCTCTAGCCCCTGTCCCCTTCTCAACAGCACATTCCTGGGGTGCTGGCTCTTGACGTTTTACTCTCCTCTCCTGTGATTTTTGTGTGCTGTTATAATGAAGACTTCAGCTTCTGGACTCCCTTTTCTGCTTTGTCTAATCACATTTATAATTTTTTAATTCTTTATTTTCCAAGAGGGGGCTTTTAACATACTCATGTCAACCAGATTTAGATTGACTGGAGGAGAACGTGGCTAATTCTGGTCAAGGAGGAAATAACCTGACCTTAGTTTCTCCCTAACCTGTATGATGTTATTTCTTCGCATTGAAGTTGCACAGAAATACATCCTCTGAAGGAAAATAGCCTCGCTGACTCTTCAGGTTGTTTCTGCTTGTGCTGTCTGGGCACGGGGGACGGGGTGAGAGGCACAATCTCCTCGGGTGGACTTTTCAGCTGAACGCTTCACTAGACATTACAACTTATCTGGGGTAAAAGGATGAGTGAGCATTCATTTAATGCCATTTGTAAAAACCCTGTCTCACTGCTCAGGAGATTTCGTTTGGTTAAGTCCCTTACATGGTATATAAACCATCTGTGTATGTGTGTCTTAAAGCTGTTCAAGGCTTTTTCCATCAGAAATGCCAGTTTGTTGATATCAACAAACTCATTAACTCAAAATGTGTTTTTAAACAGTCAAAAGGGCTCTTTTTGCCCTGCATTTAAATATGAAAAATGTGGTTTCAAGTTCACTTTTCATTTAGAAATGTGGGTTATTATGAATCCCAGCTGTTTGGGTTTTGCCTTCCAATTTTCAGTAACAGATTTTAAATCTCCAGTGGAGGCAAGTGCAAGGGCAGTCGCTGGAGCACAGAGCAATAATGGGGCAGAGCCTCGAGTGCAAGGAAGAAGTGAGCAGGAGCTGGGGCACAGATCGATGCTGGGGATAACAGAGGAGGGAGGTGAGAAACTGGAGGTGTAAAATTGGGACCAAAACGCCAATAGCCTCCTGCAGATTCTCAGGAGGTGACTTCACTGCCTCTGACATACCAAGAAGCCGAAACCACTCTGGTGGGAGTGTCTATTCCCATGTCCACCTCGTGGTGGATACGAGGGACTGACTCATGTGGCCATGCCACGTTCCCACAGACAACCAGCAGCTATCTGCTGTGGGAGAGAGTCTGCAGAGAGATCCCTTTGGCTCCGTTTTTCAGTTTTCAATTTAAGCCATACAGTTTCAGGAGCTCAAAAAAGAGGAAGATGAGAACCAAACAGTAGATAAAACGACGTGTCAGAATTAAGGTTTCTGATGCGAGCCCCCACTGGGTCCTTGTGCCATTGCCCTGGCGATGCTCTCCATTGGTCACAGGAAGCCTCCAGTCCCTAAACCTCTTGCTCAGCCATCCCTGAGCCCACAGTCCTGTCCCACAGCCAGCCACAGGCTGGACATTGCTCCCTTTCCCAGTGGAAGTGAGTTTTTCCGTCCAGTCTCACTCAGCCCATCCCGAGGGTGGCTGCTCCGAAGGGAAGGATGCTTTGCACCCCTGTGCCCCCTTTCAGCCAGGGTTGCTTCCAGGGAAGCAGGAGCCACTGAACTAACTACTACCTCCAAAACAGCAGCCAAAAGAAAAGTTAGCAGCAAACAGCAGCCAGCCCACATCCTCTCACCATTTGGACTGAAGGATCCGAGCCTTCCCTGCAGCTCGTCCCATGCAGTCAGGGTGATCGTAAATCCTTTATGAGCTATGAATAGGGCCCTGTCTGATCTAACTAGGGCATGGAGAAGCTATTAGACTTCAGAGCAGAAGCCTTGAAACACATGCCTTGATTCATCAAAGGAATAATGGAAAATATTTTGTTCCACGTGGATTTTAAGTAATGATGTTATTTCTAGCAATTACGGATTTGCAATCTGTAGCCTTGCTTCTGAGTATGGTAGAAGAAGGGGGTGTATCTTGCGATTTAAGCACAAGATTGAGAATTGAGGACCTTGGTATGCTTCCCAGGCGTGTGGCAGAGTGAGCATGGGGACATCACTCTGTATGTCCACATGGGCAATTCTTTCTGTAGTAACAGTACGTGGCTGAAAATGTACCAGTATCTGCTGCTGAATAGCTTGAAAGTGGCACTGAAGGGGAAAATGATAATGAACTTAGCAACAAAATTAAATGGGCTTCCAGTACTTGAGCTCCAGTGAAATCAACACTATTCACAGTCGGAGCTTATGGTTCCTTCTCACATCCTCACTTGTCTGTCACTTCCTACCTTCACCACCAGAGTGTTGCATTTTCTGAGGATGCCAAATGCAAGTATAATTAAACTTTCCCTTTATTCCTTCACAACTATCCTGAGATAGAATTAGATATTGTGTGAATGTGTGTCTGTGTGTTTGTGCATTTAGCTCTGCATATGTTGGATCCCATCAGGAACTGCATTTCAAAACACTGGTCCAATTTCTGCTTCTGGTCTGTCCTGGTTTGCTTCCTGTTGTACAATTCGGATGGGATGTAAATCTAGGGTATCTGTGGCAAAAAGGACACTGAATTTTTTGACATCTCCCTGGTGCACTTCAAATGGCAGACGGTGACTTTGAATCAGGTTTTATTTACCAGGGAGCCAATATATTACTAGGATCCAGACTCTAAAAGCAAATGAAGGAGAGAGAAATGGTCATTATTGGATAAATTGTAAATAGCATTGAATGGAGGACTCAGAAGATTTCCTAGGTGCTTCCATGCAGAGGCAATGCCAAGAAGTTCTCCTTTCTTTGCAGTCTTCTGCACAGACATTTACATTTAAGTACAATTATTTTCTTTTATTAAAATACATTATTTCTGTTTTCTTTTATATGAAAAACACCTAGTTTGTCTGTGAACCTAACCATAAAGTGTAAGGTCCAAATAAGATGCAACTTTCACCTTTAAAAAAATTGTTCCTTCTGTTACTCTTGTCATTACTTTATCCCCTAGCAAAGAATCATGGAGAAAAATGATGTTAAGATGCTGTAAACATTCGAGAAGGTCTGTGCTTTAAGAGCTGAAATGACCCATACTCAGATACCATCTAAAAGGACAGGAAATTGGATGAAAGATTTTTTTAAACCCTTGTATTAAGTTTTATGAGAACATAATCAGTTCATCCTCAAAATGTTCACTAAAAGAGAAGTACTGCACTTGTGGATTTTAGCTTTCAGTGTATTTTTCATCAGCAGTACAGGTTTCTCTACTATTTGCAGTCATTGTCATTTCCCAAGCCAAATCAGATTGTAATTCTAGATTGTTCAAGCAGTCTGCTATGTATGTGTATAAATATGTAGCTTTAGACTTAAGCTGCAATAGCTAAATCAGCAGTGGCCAGATAGATGGGTAACAGCATTATTACTGCGTGGTGGTTTTCATGTCATTCCTAGGTCTGCTTAGCTAGGGTATCCATTACAGCCTGCCTTTGGATTTATTGCATCAAGCTTGGAGCAGTACATACATCTTCCAGCGGGCAATAGTTCTGAAATTTGTTCTTCCAAGTCTTTGCCAGTTCAGTCTGATTTACCTTCTTTTTTTTTTTTTTTTTTTTTTTTTCCTCACTTCCTCCTCATTTATCATTGCAGACAGCTTGTATTGGACCAGGTTACTTAATTGGTTTGGCAGGGTTTTCTGTGATCCTTTTTTTAATACGAACAGTCATGAAAGCTATTAGGCTGACTTTTTCTTTTCTTTTTTTTTTTTTTCTGGAAAATATTTTGATCCTAAGGCTAAAGCTTCATATCCTGGGCAGTGCCAAGTGGGAATGTCTCTAAGAACTTGTCTTTGTCATTTAGCCATGGGGTCCCGTGCGGCACATGTTTCCTTCGAACGCCTGCCATGGATCCAAAACTTTAACTGAAGTGATTAACATCTTTGTGGTGCACAAGTAATGCTTCTTTTGCTTCTTATGTAAACGCCCTGAAATTCATCAAAAGTCAGTAATGCTACAACACATGGAATAGTTAGAATCTTAAAATGCTGGTAAACTTTGTGGGGGGAAATGTCATGCTCTCTTTTTTAATGCACTGGGGAAGTCAAAGAGAATTTTGCCTATAGTGTCTGTTCCTCTAAATCGTCTCTCTTGTTTTATCTTGTTCCTAAGTAACCTGCTCTTAGATCTGCCTTCTGGAGAGACTGAGTCAAGGATCACTAAAAGTGATGGGCAAGTAGCTCTGCTTTGCAGAAGTATTGTTAGACTAAGGGGAAGACATAAACAAATAGGAAGGACACATCTGACCAAAAAGACAATCTACTGGAGTGGTGCTTGAAATACCGCTGTGGCGAGAATTAACAGACATTCACTTTCTCTACTAGCCAGAGAAATAATTTTACCCTGTATCCACCTTCCCTTTGAGCAAAGCCAAATAAAGTTGCCGTCTGTTGTCACTGAATGCTTTCTGAAAGCTGGCTTGGCAAGGCTATAAAATATAAATTAACTAAATTGTATTGGTGTTAATTAAGAGAGATTATCTCAGAAAATGCACCACTAGGATTTGGTCAAAATACAGTGGAAGGTTTTTAATAGGACTGTATATACAGGTTTAACTTCCATCAGAAAATGGTATTTATCCTTCAGATTTTTCAGACAGAGCATTCCGTTAAGGCCACATCCAAAATGAAGTTATAATGGTGAAACATGAGTGCAAATATTGACTTGTTTTTATATCTGTTCCAGGCAGAATATGAAATTGCTCCAGATGAAAAGCTGGGAGAGAAAGGAAAGGAAATCATGATGAAATACCTCACCCCAGAGGTAAGGGGCAGCCAAAGGGGCATTACTGAAGGAATGCTGCAAGGCACACCTTTGCTAAACAAGGTTTTTATAGGCTTTGTAAGCCAGACTCCTAAAATTTATGGTGGCAATCTCCAGTGAATAAACCTGAAAGTCTTATACAAACAGTCAGAGAGAGAAAAAAAAATATAATCCAATCCAGAAATTGACTTCTAAGGATGAACTTGAGCTTACCAGGGGCTTAATTCATCTGTGGACGAGCAGGGGCCTTCTCTGGTCTCTTCTTGGTGTGCAAAGCTCTGCATCCGTGGTGTAATTCAAGAGACGTTGGCTGTTATTGACAGGTGCCACAAGTATTTCCTATCCAACTCAAAAGAGGTGGTGGCATTTCATACACTGTTGTTTAGAAAGCACGGGCAAAAATGGTCTTTGGTAACAGACACTGTATTTTGGCACAAAAATTCCTGCTCCTCCCCCCCACTATTTGCCTCAGGGTAGCCAGGGACACGCAAGACTGACATGGGACAGCGTCGTTTGGAGCTGAGAGGTGCTATCACCCCTTCTTGTTTCCACCGCTGTGGGTTCCTGAGCCTTGTACCTGGGGGTGTTGGAAGGAGAGGAGCCCATGGCAGCAGCCGTGTCCACAGGGTGGCACTCCGAACAGAACTACACATCTGCTGCGGGAATTTTGGACAGGCTGCACTGGGACTAACCCTTTTTTGGAGGAGTTACGATGATTTGCTGACCAAGTTTAACCTTTGCAACAAAAGTCACTGCCAGTAAGCTGTAAACATCCAACTTCAAACACAAGAACAATCCTAGGGTTTTTCCTTAATTGCCTTCCTAAGAGTAATCAAGACGTACAATTGCTGCTTCAACTGTTTTACAAGAGAAATACATTTGACCATCAGGGGAATTAATTTCATTTTTGGCAGATGTCTTTCTAGAGCATTTAAGTGATACAATATGTTTTGGAGGTGCAGGGGCAGAGCAGACCACTTTTTTTCCCGGTCAGTCATTTTCCTACAATAAATTTCAATGCATACTTTCAGTTATCTCAGACTGCATTTTGGGATCTGGTTTCATTTACTGAGCCTGGCTACTTTCATGTGCAGCCATTGAGCACTGCCAGTATGAGTTCCTGCTGCCCATTCATTAGGGGCATGGAGTCCCACTGCTTTTTAAATCCACCAAAATGACCGTTTGCCTTAAAATTTCTGTCAACAGAGGAACGCGGGACAAATACTGGGGGAAAATATTTCCCGCTGCCCCAGTTCCCATCTGGAAGTGGAGAAAGATAGCAGAGCTAGTAAAGTCAGAGAAGGATAGAACTGCTTCATTTCAGCCAGTCTCAGTGCAGGTTTCCAGATGCCAAAACCCTTCACTGCTGTCCCGTGGCACTCCTGCCACCCACAGTGCAGCAGAAGCACATGGAATAGTTTAGTGAAGTAAGTGAATGTGCAGTGAAGACCAATCTGAGAGCAGTTGCTTCTTCATCAAGAAAAAATGGTGGTGTTACGAGAAGGGAAATCCCTGGGACTCCAGAGCTGGAGTTTTCATTCTCTGCCATGCTCTCTCTGCTCTTCATAATTTGACCTGTGTGCCTGGTTGGTCAGTACGTGGAATGGGCACAGGATATTTACAGTCTGTTCTGAAGCTTTCCTGGTATTTGCAAGTTACCTTAACATCTTTGGGCAGAAGGCAACCCTTGTAATCTAAAACTGCCTCCCTGGTGGTGGTGTTTTAATGTCTGCAGTGGTCTTGATGCACTTTTTATTCTTAATGAGAAAATTCTGCTTCTTCCCAGAGGGATGTTTAAGCCCCATGTAGCAGAAGATAGTTCCCAGAGGCAAGATTGACTGTGCCATAGCAAGAATAATAGATTTTCTAACAGGTCTCCCACACAACAAATATTTAAAAAACTAGAGCAAGGCCTGGATTAATTTCATTTCTTTTTAGATACCTAACTAAGGTATTCAGGTTAGGACTACCTCATGGCCTACTGTCCTTTCTTGTCAAGAAAGAGAAATAAGAATCTCCAAAGGACACATTTTAAGCCGTTTGAAGTCAGTGATTTGAAGCCAGGTTAGATGCTCGCAATCAAAAGAGGTGAATTTGGATCCAAATATCCTAATGGAATATCATCCTGGCCAGCAGAAAAACCTTCTTGTCATTAGGAGCTGCATTTCTCCGTTTAGTTATCATGATACCTTGAAAGATAGACATTGCCACTGATTCCAGTCTTCTGCTTTCAGTGGAACGCTTCTTTTAAGTAGGTATGTGTCTGTGCTTCAGAAAACCTGATTGTCTTGATAGAAAAATAGTGTGACATACAGCTTGACTGATAGAATAAAATTACAGGTTTAGCTCTTGGACAGATAATTCAGTCTTATAATGTGAGGAGTATTTTTCCCAGAGTGCAGGATCAGAAGCAAAATGAAAACAAAAAAGTAGACTTCATGCGTTCTAATATTTATAAACTATTTTTAGTCCTTGCTTAGGTTTTTAAATGTCATACATATTTAACATACAATGTGTCGGTATGTCATCATTCTAAAGTGCATTCATTTGCATAGGGACCATGCACTTTATTTAATAAAACTTATACTACTTGCACAGCAGGAAGGAAAAGAAAACACTTTCCCAGATGAACAGACATCACGCCAGTACTTAACAGCCTCACGTGACTCACGCAGCCACTGTCTGCAAGATGCTGCTACACCACCCATGTTAGCAGACTCAACCGTGTGGGAGCAGCGAATTCCCGCGTGGAGAGCTCTGTGTGAGAACATTCAGCACCAGCCCCGAGGCTGCTAAACAAGCTCAGTGCTTGCCAAGACGGTCGAGGGGGGAGTCACTTTTTCAAGTAATCACAATTCAGGCTCTTGGCAGCTTTAACATCCTGAGCAGCCCCTACGTGCTCGCTGGGGAAGTGGAGAAGAGGTCTAACAGCCTTTAGTTGTGGTTGACACCAGGGACGGCATGAGTGGGTCAGGCTTCCGCTATCTCCCTTGCCTACAGGCAACAGCAATGACAAATTCTGAATGTGTCCTGGCATCTGGAAGGGAAAATGGATGGTTTAGGCCCTCAAAGAAGTGGCACGTAGGAACAACCTCCCTAGGGATATGGTAGAGTCCTCATCACTGAAGGTTTTCAAGATGCTATCAGACAGAGTGCTAGGTAGTATCATCTAGGCTCCCCTTCCCACAAAAGTTTGGGCCAGATGATCTTTAAAGGTCCCTTGCAACCTGAGCTGTTCTATGATTTTATGTGCTCAGATCCTCACCTAGGAAGACATTAGTATTCCCTCTCTCTTGCCTAAAGTTTGCTGAGACATTCATATCCAACAGGCCATTCTGATGGGAGGGGAATGCAAGGAGTACCTGTGATCTTCACGCTGCAGATGCCAAAATACAGGCATTTTCATGGCTTCCGTAGCAGCGTCATTTGAGTGGTTAGCAGGAGAGTGAAAGCTCACAGGAGAGGTGTCCTCTAGCTGAAGACACCCCCATCCTTGAAACATGCTCTGAAGGATTGTTAACCTGCTGCTCTGAGGAGGTCCAGCTGTGAGCTGGCTGCTCCTCAGGGGCTATGTGGGGACGAGCACTGGTGAGAGGGCCTTGTCCGTTAAGAGGAAGAGACCCAACGAGGCATGTGCCGCTTCAGTACTGTGATCTGGAGGGAACTCCACCTGCAGGCTGCCTTTGCTTGACAGGAGCAGCGCAATGGTTGCCACACTGGCAAGGTCGAGGTTTCTTGACTGGAGTCTTGCTTCTTCAAGAGAGGCTTTAACAGTTTCCATGAAAAAGGCACTTAAAGCTGCCTTCTTGACTTAATAAGCCCGTAGGGCAAAAGTCCAACCCACAGGAAGTCTAAAATTTCTGAGGTTGTGAAATATGATGGTAAAACTGCTAAAATGAATTGGTCACAAATATTTCTTTCCTGGCTTTTCCTAATCTTAACAGTTGAGTGGGAATCTTTCAGTTTTAGGTTCCGGTTCCGTCTGTAAATGGAAAAGCCCTCAGTGCTTCGTGGAACAGTTGAGTTAAACTGAACCCAGCCTGGCTTCATTACCTGGCTGCTTCTTGTACTGGAAGAGCAAAGAGACATGTTTACCTTTGTACCACTTTCAAATTAGAGTTTTGCATCTCCGTGCAGCAATTCTTGCCATCCTGCCTGACAGCTGCCATGCCTTAATCTAGTAAATCATTAGCCCATTATTTTCTTTTTCACTGTAAATCACCTTGAGATGCTTTAAGAGACGCTATATAAAACTAAATTGATTTGAAATGGCTCTTAAGACAGTCTCCATCTTCCATTATAGGTTATATTTGGACTCAGCTGGGTACTAAAAATGTTACTGAATAGGATGTCTAATGTGTATTGTTATCCCCATTAATATACTTCACAGAATACGACAAACAGCAACAGCATTAGTTTTCTTATCTGAATTCCTGTTCAGTCTCCTTTCCTCCAGGAAACGCACAGAATAAAGGCCACGTTTGCAATTTCTTTCTGTGCTGCAAGAGGTTAGCGGGACACAGCAATAACCTCCTTACTCCAGTCTAAGGCTAGCAATGGGTATTTTGCTAAACGAAAACATGTCTTTGTTTTTATGAACAATTATAGGATAAGGAAGGGAGGGAAAAGTCCCATGAAAGGGAAACTGGCTGATCAGCAGTGCCTGGCCTTCCACTTGTCTACTGGCTAAAATGTGCTCTTCTCTCAAATCAGTTCTTTATGGTGAAGAAACAGCTATGTAATGTGGGTGGGATGAAATTAAAATGATACATGAGCCCTTCTGCTGGACAAAGCCATGCAGTTGAGTCCAGGCTCCTGCTCACAAACACCCTCTCTCAGCTCTGGGCATTGTCAAAGAGGAGTTTTCTTTTTGCCCACCATTGCTTTGCCTTTGGTTGCTCTCTCGTTGACATTTCTTTCCCCCTTCCTATTTTCACCACCAAAATAAACGCAAACTTGTGCTTCTGAGTGAGTCATCTTCGCTGATCACTAAAGCCTTC